TGTAATGCCTTATATTTCCTTCTCTTCTCTGATCTTATTGGCTAAAACTTCCAGTACTAGATTGAATGGGAGCAGAGAATTTCGGCAGCCTTGTCTTGTAACCCGTTTTTAGTGAAAAAGTTTTCAGCTTTTCCCCATTCGGGATAATGTTACCTGTAGGTTTTTCATAAATAACTTTTGTCATGCTAAGAAATGGTCCTTCTGTGCCAATTTTACTGTGAGTCTTGATCATAAAGGCATGTTGTATTTTGTTGAATGCATTTTCTGCATTGATTAAAATGATCATATGGTTTTATCTTTCTTTCTGTTAATATGGTGTATTATATTTATGATTTTGCATATGTTGAACCACCTTTGCATCCCTGAAATAAAGCCTACCTAGTCATGATGAATAACCTTTTTCATATGCTGTTGAATATGGTTAGCAATTATCTTTTTGAGAATTTTTGCATCTATATTCATCATGGATATAGATCTGTAGTTTTTCTTTTTTGTCATATTCTTATCTGTTTTGGAAATGAGGATAATGGAGACTTCATAGAATGAATTTGGAAGGGTTCCTTCCTTTTCAATCTCTAGAAACAGTGTGAGTAGAATGGGGGTTACCATATAATTTTGTGTTACTCTTTACAGTCTTTTTATTTCAACTCAGAGAATTATCTTTAACAGTTTTCTTAAAAGAAGGCCCAGGAGTAGTGATTTTCCTCAGCTTTTGTTTATTTAAGAACATGTTTATTTCACTATCACATTTGATATATAGTTTGGCTGAAAGTTGTATTCTTGATCAGGATATTTTTAATTTTAAGACTTTCCTTCCTCAGGCCTGTAATATTTCAGCTGCAAAATCTGTTGATAATCTATGGGAGCTTCCTCTTACCTGACGAATTGCTTTTCTCTTTTATCTTTCATGATTTTCTACTTGTTTGTGACTTTTGACAGCTCAATATCTTTCATGATTTTCTACTTGTTTGTGACTCTGGAGAGCTCAGTTTTAACAGATTTTAGTGTGAACCTCCTCAGATCCATCCTAATTTGAGCTTTTTGTGTTTCTTATAATGGAAGCTCGTAACTTCCTGAATATGGAGAGTTTTTGAATGTTATTTCTTCAAACCTCTCTATTCTTCTATCTTTTCTTCTGGGCTTCTATAATGCATATGTAGGTTTTCATGATGATATCACAGAACTTCCTTGGGTCTTCCTTATTACTTTTTAATTTATTTTTCTTTTAATTCAATATTTTAAATGTCCTATCTTTGGGTTTACAAATTCTTATACTTATTAAAGTTTGCTATCAAACTCCTCAACCCATTTATTGTATTCTTCTTTTCTAAAATTTGTTTAGTTCTTTCTAATATAGTTTCTATCTCTTATGTCATCTTAATTTTGTGCATGTATCACTTTGATTTCATTTAGTGGACTTTCTGCATTCTCTCGTAGTTTATTTAGCTTATTTTTTAAGAACTATTTATTTATTTACTTCCATTTGTTATTATTATTATTTTTTCTTAATTCTACCAGAGACAGAGAGAGAGAGAGAAAAGGAAAGTGAGACAGCAAGCTCCCAGATCCAGGACTTGAACCACAGTTGACCCCACCACACCACTTATAGGCCCCAAGCTTTTTAAAAATAATTATATTTTGAATTCTTTGTTAGATAATTTATTGATTTCCATTTCTTCAGGGTTTACTGCTAGTGATTTGTTTTTGTTTCTTTGGCTGGCACATGTTTTCATTTTTATTTTCCATACCTTTTTATTGTTGCTAGATTAGACCACTGGAAAAATACAAACCAAAACATAGCCAATTTCCTAATCTGTTTTGAACTGGTTTTATATTGAACACCTTCATGTATTAACCGGAGTAAAAGGTTTCTTGATTATTTTCTGAGAATTTTCCTTCTCTGGACTTATTCTAATTAGAGAAGTTTTATAGTTTCTCACTTAGGAGCTGGTAATTTGTGTTTTCTGCCAGAGTAATGCAAATCCTCTGTAGTTGCAACCAAGTGCTAAGTTCTCTTCTGTTTGCAGCAACTCTGGCCAGCCAAGGTATGGGTTCTATTAGTGCACCAAGTCGTGAGACAGAAACTAGTTTCTTTTGTAGTATTCTACCGAAAGCCAGAACTTTGGATGCACATTTTTCCTTTTTCATTCCCTCCTGAGAGAAGCTGCAAGTTTGGCATTTACTTTTTTGTTTGTCAATGTTTGTTGTCGAACAATTTTAATCAAGGTAATGGTAAGCAATCAAGTGTAATTCCATGAAAAGCACTTCTTGATCTCATCAAGCAGTCTTGACTTGGGGGATGGACTATGACGTTTAATGGCAAATGGCTTTCTTACTTATTTCAGTGTGGCTGTCTTTGGCTTTCAGCTTGCCTGAGGTGCTGTAACTATTAACTGGTTTCCAGAGCACTCATTCAAACTTTTTGATCTGCTTATTTTTGACGAGTTAGTGACTCTGAAGAAACAAGGCCTGGGATTCAAAGCTGCCATTTTGCCGATCTGAATCAAAGTGGGCATTATCAAACATCTCCAACCACCCCAGCCATCTATGCAAGCTCTGGTTTTCCTTCTTTTTTTCTAATATTTGATAGTCATTTTTTTTCTCTTCAGTAATTTTATTGGATGTGTAGTGAGGTCTCTGTCATTTTAATTCACTTTTACTTAATAACTAAAAGTTACCTCCTTATTGGATGCTTACTAGCCACTTGTTTATCTTATTTCAGAAAGTGTCTGCTTAAGACTTTTCTCTATTTTTTATGACTATGTTTTTTCTCTTTTTTGTGAGTATGTTTTCTCTCTATTTTTTAAGTCTTTTTACTATTTTTTTAAATATGTCTTTTTACTATTGCAATGTACTTTAAAAATTCTCTATAAAGTATTTTAATAGCTACATGTGTTGCAAATATTTTCTCTTAGTATTCAAATAACTACATTTTTCACCTAAAGATGTCTTTGTTATCAAAAGTTTTTAAAAAGTTAATAAAAATTTCATATTATCAATTTGTTATTGTTGTATACGGTTATTGATTTTTATATTCTCTAAGAAATACTTTTCTATCTTAATGTAACAAGACTATTTCCCCTTCATTTCTCCCAGAAACTTTGTAATTTTGACTTTTATGTTTGTTTACTGTTTAATTTATATAAATATTTCTGTGCATCTCAGTTAGGAATCAAAATTTTGTGTACACACACACACACACACACACACACACACACACACGCATGTCTATGTCCCAATAATATTTGGCCAGGCTTCTTATTTGGACCTACTTCTGGGTACTTTCTGATTTCCATTAATTTATGTGAGCACTTCTAAAGACAGAGAACATGCAAATAGCTTTACATTATAGAAAATTCTTTTTTTGCTTGCTTGCTCATTCCTTCAAATGTGGGACGTGTGTGTGTGTGTGTGCGTGTGTGTGTGTGTGTGTGTTTTAGCTGTGGTCTTGCTGTGTCATGATCCTCCCACCTCAGCCTCCAGAGTAACAAAGACTACTATGTGCTACCATGCCTGAGTTTTTAGAGTGTTCTGGAAATTGAACCTGGGCCCCCCTTGTGACCTGAGATTCTGCATCTGGGCCCAATTACTATTTCAAAAGGATTTTCCAGTAGGCTAAACATCATTAAATAAAACGTTGCAGACAGATGAAATTTTGTTCTACGTTATGTATAGTTTGTAAGTATAGGCCCCTTTGCATAATAAAAAAAACCAACTTTTCATAATGATGTATATTAGCTTAATAAAGTCTTAATGTTTCTGTGATGGAAGATTAACATTATTGAGTCTAATTAGTGACCCAACACCTGTCGTTACTTACTTGCAAAGCTCTGACTTTGGTGTGAGATAAAATGTCATTTTAGCATCCGATTTACTTGACAGAATTGGAAGGTACTTGAAGTTGAATGTGGAAGGTACCCATCTAATGCATGGCGTCTAAGCAGTGGGTTTTGTCATTTTGCCTCCCGCAGGTGCTCCGAGTGACCAGAGCAGCGGCACCTCCTCCCCGCTTTGTGACAGTGGCTTACACCTCAACTACCACCCCAACAACACAGTAAGCTGCCCCAACATAGTGCAGGCTAACAAGGAGCAAACAGAGCAAGCCCAAGAAGAGTGCCTGTACATAGGCATAGCTCACAGAGCTGCCATTGCCTCTGACTGACCGATGGCCATGAAACCCTTCCTGGCTTCGTTTAAATACTGTGATACGCCAGGAAGGGGAAATAAGTAGGTCAGCTATTTTTCAATGACGTTTTCCTCTTCTTAGGTTTATATGTATTCAATCCTCTGTAGCTATAGAGTTGAACTTGGGGAGGTCATGCATAACATCATATAATCATTTTAGAACATTGTACATTATATGTAATTTCATGCTCTAATTGATTTGACATAATTTTTTAATCATCTTTTCTTTTCAAATTATTTAGCTAACAATAGCTATTCAATTTGCCATTTGTTAAGATTTCTCAACCAGCTTTATGCATAGGGAATTACTACAAAGCAAGAAAATCTAATTGACACATCATATTAAAATATAATGGATGTTAAATTATACATGTAGTTAATAAAATATAAAATCAACATGCGTGTTTTACAGACATTTGATAAAACTTCAATGTTTATTCTCTATTTGCATTTTGAAATAAATTGATTTTCTTTCTTTTCTTAATTTCACATTTCAAAATAATCATACATTCAAAAGACAGAACACTGTTCTCTGATTATGTGAGGTCAAAGAGTAATCCTCTGTGCTCACAGACAGGAGGAGTAGCTGAAATGCCCGTAAGTGAAATTTTATTTTACTCTTTTATTTGAGTTTTGCTATAGGTTCCATGTGCTCACCAAATGGAGAGAGAGAAAGTGAGAGATCAACTGTCCTTCTGGAGGCATGGCCACATTGCAATCCCTTCCTGGGTCTTCTTTCTAGATTTTAGGTATGCACACACACGCGCCCAGCATGACTGCCAAACCGCAGAGTTTGGAATTTTAACCCTTCAGCTGGCCACGTGGGATCCAGCACCTTAACTTCCATGCCGTCTGCTGGTCCCACCTTAAGTGAAGTTTTATTTTTCTGTTGTGCGTATTAGAACATGTGAAGCACATGACTTTTCCTTCTCACTTTTATGATTCATCCTCCACTTGAAACTGGACTTAAGTGTTTCATTTTATTTCAAGGTTCTCCTTGAGAACATCTTCTGTCCTGGGTGGCCTCCACTGTACCTAAACACGCAGTGCCTTTGGTCTCCAAGTCGTCTATATATTCTTTATATAGAGACACACTTGGTAGGATTAAAGTTAACTCTGCAAGTGTAAGGATAGTTTCCAAACCAATTACATCTAGATGTATTTTCCCTGACCTTTTTTGTTCTTGCCAGTGAAATAATTGTCCCAAAATAGATGCCATTTAAATCGCTGATCTTCAGAAGATAGACAGATCTGGAAGCCTTACTTAAAACATCAAATTCTTTTCTTTTTATATGTTTATTTCCTTCATGAGAAAAATAGAGAAAATGAGAGAGAGATAAAGAGAGAATTAGAGAGAGAGGAAGAGAGATAATGAGAGAGAGATAAAGGGAGAGTTAGAGAGAGAGGAAAGGAGACATGCACTCCCAACAAGGTCTGCCCAGCCCCTGTCTCAGCCGGCCTGGACTGCAGGTGCATATGCATAGCCAGCATGCTCAGGGGAGCTTCAGGATGGGGTCCAGGTGCATCATTATACTGCACCACCCCCTGGTTTAAAAACATTAGCTCCTTTTTCTGTTTTTTAGTTTTTATTTATTTACGTGTTTTTTTGCTGTGATTTTTCAAGCCACAAGGTTGGGTACTCAAACCATGGTTGGCCACGTGGGAATCCATCACACCACCTACTGGCCCCAAAATATTAGAACCCAATATTGGATATATATATATATATATTTAATATTCTTCACCCCCATCATCTCAATTCTACAGACTTCTTACATTCTCCAACCAAAATTTTTACCTCTTATTTTGAAGGTCCTTTCCTCGCCCTCCCTGTGGTCGATACAGCCTGAGCATGCTCAGGGCCACCCATGCCCCGTTGCTGCACCGGTCACCTGTCTCCTCTGTGAGCGCCGGCCAGTGTTCACTGCCCTCGTGTGCCTTAGTGACAGGGGACAAGGCGGGCCTCCTGCAGGCCCTCTCTAGGTCCTGGGTGTGAGCGGAGGCCTTCCTTCAGGAGCCCACGCTGCAGCGGGGTTTCTGAGCAGCACAGCCCTTCTCTCTGTTAGTGGAGGGCTCTTCTGAGGTCTTTTCCTCCTTCTGTCACTCATGCATGCAGATCCGTCTCAGCTCTGCTCCCAGCACAGAAACAAAAGCCACTTTATTCCAGAGTTGGGCAAAGACGTCTGGCCATGTCTTTACCCTAGTTCTTGCTCCATACCCTTGAAGCCCTCTTTTCTAATGAGAAGTAGAGAAGTCGGGGTGTAAGATCCAAGGTGAGAGATCTGTCTGGTTTGTTTTTAACTCAGTTCATTGAGAAACACAAAACATCTATGAAATAATGTCCTCCTTTAGAAAGCTGTAATCAGAGCAAAGAAAATCGCTCAGTAATTCTAACATGACTGTTCAAAACCCAGCTGTATAAAGTCAAAAACCAAAAACTCACACATTCGTCTGAGTGGCGCTATGTCTTTTCAACTCCAAGAGCACATGTGTTCTGATGTTTAGCACTACGATTGAACATAATTTTGATATTGCTGAAGATATTTCAGTTTAAGAAAATCAAAGGATTTAGAAAAATCTGATGTTTTAGAGAATAAGAATAAACACATGTATAAGCTGAAGTAAAGTATTTCAAAAATTAAAAACATAATCTCATTATAAAAATTAAGTAACTTAATTTCCCCCTCAGAGGGTATATGTATATGTGCTTACAAGAGAGACAGAGACAAGGAGAGGAGGAAGGCACCCATCCAGGGGCGCCTGGTCCTCTCACAGTCCCTCCTCCATTTCTCCATCCTGCCAGGATTCGGGGCACACACAGATATGCACCTGGCTTGTCTTTCAAGCCATTGGGGCCAGGATTTGAACTGCATGTCAGCCATGTAGGATCCTGCTCCCTGAAACACTAGGCCATATTGAATCAATGTTTGCTGAGAATTTTCTCTGTGGAAATACTCTTCTAGGTACTTAGGGAGCAGTTAGCTATGGGTTCTGACCTCCGAAGTATAAGATCCAGATCCAGAGACAAATGCACAAAACTAAGTACAGGATAAGCAGAAAAAGAAGAATATATAATGTTAATATTCTAGTGTCATAAAGAAGAGTGGTAGAGATTTTGAACGTCTGATTTAATTGAATTCAAAGTTGAGAGACGGCAGAGCTGCCGCCATGCCTATGAGAGCATTAGCCTTCAGTCCCAAGAAGATCACAGCAATTCGTAGGCCAGTGTTCACTCACATTTTCTTTTCTGTTTCTTGAATAAACTCATACAGGAGTGGAGATCTTTGTTCCTCAGAGATTTAAAAATTGGAAGAGGTCAAGACAACTTTTTTTTTCTGACTCATCACAAAATAACCCAGGGCATTGGGATCCTTGGGAGCAAGGCTGCATTGTGAAGCATATTTTCCAAGAAGTGCATAATGGGGGCATCAAAAAGTGCATTAAAAATAATAATAAAAGAAAAGAACCAAACTACCAGTTTATTTTGATGCAAAAATATCTTGAAATCTATGCATAGTTTTTCCATAACACACATTTTCCATGAACTTTCTGAAGTACCTTATATTATAGGTACTCAGTCTCCTTAAAAGAAACATTTGATTGTACAATGTGTCTAAACCCTCTTTTCTATCCTGGGCTTATTTTTAATTCCTATGCTTACACCAAAGCAAATTTGGTGTAAGCATAGGAATTAAAATAAGGTTCTATTCTACTTTTCTGAAATATTCTTACATATTTAAGGCAACTTTAAAGTATAAGAGAAAAGAAAACTTTGTAACATGTTCTCACCACCCCGCATTCCCACGTAAATGTAGTTCTAAAGCCTGGAGGTTGCCAATGCAAAAGCAGACATGTAAGAGGCATCTGATCCACAGCCAGGACAGACTCCTGCTCCCCGGACTCCTTCGCCTTGGACAGGGAGGAAAGCGGTTGGTTTGTGTTCACCAGGAGACTGAGAGCGCATCCAGCCTGACCCGAGAGCACTGTTCTTACCCACACCTCTACCGGGTACTTTCTGGGCCGAGTACCCTAACGAAACCTGCATCAGCACTGTGCCCTGCATGCAGTTCTATTTTGGTGGGATAACTGTTCTTGAGGCTATTCTGTGGTGTGTGTTAAGTCTTGGAAAAGAATCTATTTTAAGGCAAGAAGTGCATACAGACTGTGTTTTCCACTCACATTATTAATATTTTAGGAAACTCTATTATAGACATTGCAAAGCTCTTAAAAAATAGTTAACGATTCCCCAAACCATAAAAATCATTGCATTTTTAGATGGCCTTATAAACAATTCAGAATAACTTTGAATACCTTTCCAAGAAAGGACAAGAAGGCAAATTTACATTCTATTTTCATAATTAAAGTAAGTAAGACTAAGATATCTTTAAAGCACACTAGGTAATCCAGATCTATCATATGAAATGCATCAGTCCTGATTAACTGAATAACTGAATCGAGACTCACTTCGTATTTCTTATGTGGAGAAAACATGAATGTGACCTATTCATCACTGGGAAATAAAGGCATTAGGCTGAGCCATTACAGCAAAGGCCGCGTGTATTTTCATACCCGCGTCTGTGAAGTCTGTTAATATCCGTGTAACTCCTTGCGTGCTCGGCTACTGCTGATCAGCACTGTCCTCAGCGTTTCATTGGCTGTGTGTTCTCTGTTCATTGATATTTTTATCTGATTTCATGGATCATAAAAAGTGAGAAGAGTTATTATTTTAATGAAGAACAAGGAACTATCTTTGAATAATATGCCTAAAATTATATAGATAAATTGTCAAATAATAAAATAAAACCTCCGAATTATTCTTTCATTGTTCCACCTCTAATTGGGAGTGTTCAGTGTTAGGCTACAATAGCTGGGTTGGCTCTGGGATCAGAGAGGTGACAGTCTCAGAATCTGGTGCCACGAATTATTTACTGCAGAACGTCTCAGAACCTAGTATGCACTGGGCTCCTGGGAGCGGGTTCTGGCCAACGTGGGCCTTCGAAGGCAAACTGGGTGGGCTCTGGACCTTGTACAGCACTGGCCTGGCCACAGAAAGTAGCCTGTTCACCCAAACCCGCCACAGGTATATTGTGTCCTCCTGTGTGTCCACGAAAATCAGTGGGAAGCCATCATAACTGATTCCAAAAATGCCTTTGGACCTTCCAAGATTAGCTTAGTAATTGCTTTACCTTTTAAGATGTGGCCAGTGTCTTAGGCAACACGTGTCCGATAGCTAGTGTAATTAGCTATCCGTATGGCAAGCATTACTAACAGAAACACAATACTACTGCTAGAGTTAGTAAGGGTGGCTTTCTCTGCATCCCCGGTAGAAATAATTGTGTCCATTATTTAAGCTTATTTATAAAAATATATTACTTGCCATTTTGTACAGCTATGAGTGATGCCTGCAATCAATCTGCCTGCTGTTAAGAGTAAATGTAAAATTCCCATTAACCTTTTAGTGTTACTGGCAATAACATGAAGCTCCACATGGCCAACTGCAGTTTGTGTTCTGGACCTAGTAGCTTGAAAATCGTGCCAGGGACTTGTGTGTGCATGCCCAAAATCCGAACAGGAGAATGGAGGACTACAGGTGGCCATTCCCCTGGGGGTGATTTTTCACTTTCCCTCTCTCTGTCTCTCTCTGCCAAGTACATGCACCCTATGGCAAAAACCTACAATAAATACCCAAATAACAAATAAATTCAAAAAATTGTCTTTAGATAACCTCCAGGTTCATTCACTAGTCAGAATCTGACTCCGATTCAGAGCACAAGTCCTCATCGCCTGTTCTCCCTCCCACGGAGCCCCGCGTCCCCTCCCGAGGGCCTGCACCCCCGGCCTGAGGCCTGCAGGAAGACAGACAGCACACCTAGGTCTGTGCCTGTGCTGCCCGCAGCTGAGCACGGAAGGCTACGCTCTTGACCCGCACCAAGAGCGCTGGTCTTAGAGGCGAAGATGCTCACTGAGTCGCCAGAAGGGGGCGCTGTCTGCACCACTCAGCCATAACTCACACAGTGTTCTGAGCTGTCCCACAGATGGAGCGTATTTTCATATTTGTACTGTCTGTGGCAATCAGCAAAAATGACAAGCAACACTCAACCCTCGGTAAAAATAATGCTTTTTCCCCCATTGCACATTAAAAAATATAACACTTGAAAAACAATGGTCAATAATATTCAGGCTGAATTTCAACATCTGTACTAAAGTAAAATCTCCTGACTGTACTACTCAAAAATTAGTGAACAGATGAAAAAATGCCAACAGTTCCCCGGTCAAATCGAGCCTCGTCCACTTCCTATCCACACAACTCTACACGTCAACAACATTGTGCCTTGTGTTGCCGTGAAGCCGAAATAATGAAAAAGCATGAGTCACCATCAAGGGAAAAATCTCAGTCTTCTTCAAGTATATGTGCCCTCTCTATATAAGGAAAAACACTTCTAATAAAACTTTTAACTACATGCTATTTTAAATGAGCAATATTTGTGTTGACATTTTTAAAAAGTTTATAAATACGAAGTTAAAATAATGAGCAAAATTGTCCTTGAGCAATGTGTTGTAAGAATTATTTTATTTAATTTAATGTATTATTATTATTAATTTGACCAGAGAGAGAGAAAGTGAGAAACCAAGCCAGCAGGTCTGGGACTCAAACTGCAGTCAGCCATGTGGGAGTTCAGCACCTTAACCACCATGCCACCTGCCAACCCACCCTGAGCAGTGTTTTTAATAGGAATGTTCATTTTATTCATAAATATTCACAAAAAAAGTTGATAAATCACAAGCATTTACATTGGTGCTTAGAACTTAGCAGATACTCAGAATATTGGGCTAATCCCATGAGCTACGGTTTATTTTTATTTTTTTCACTTACTTGTTCATTGCATTTACAGTTTTGCCCAATCTTTTCCTTTCTTGAATGAGTTCAGCTCTGTCACCTTTTTCTTCTCTTACTTCTTCCCATCCTTTTTTATTTATTTTTTTTAATCTTTCTTCATCTCAGGAATTCCATCCTCACCTTCTATAAAGGTTCATTAGCAAAGAAATGAGCAAATACAACGTTAGGGTCAATGAGCGAGGATTTTGTTCTCGTGGTATTGTGCAAGTCCTCGGATCATTAGAAGAACAGGAAATAGCCCTAACCCAGAAGGGTTTGCAACATAGAAACTCAAGGCGCGGGGCAGGGACCCAGTCTGAATGTCTGCTCTTTCCAGGACACGCTGTCCTGCTCGTCCTGGCCAACCTCTCCGGGCCTGAGGTGGGAGAAGCGCTGGTGCGACCTCAGGCTGATCCCGCTGCTGCACGCACGCTTCTCTCAGTACGTGCCGGGGACCGACCTGAGCCGGTGAGTCCGTGGGCCCCGCCGACTTTCTGTGGGGTGAACAAGAGCGGAGTCGAGCTCCTAACGCGGTATGCCTGCCCTTTCTCACTGTGGGCATACTGCTGGGGAGAAAGTGGAGCCCCGAGAGAGTAAGTGTAGTAACAGTAAACGCTGATAGATCTGGTGGCAGAGATACAAGCTAAAGCCCTGACTCCACTTCCGACTTCCTGTAGCAGGTGCAATGTCTTTGGTCGATATAATGTTATTGAATTGCTTGCATTTCTTCTTGTGTTGTTTATTTTTTCCCTGAGGAAATTTTGTACTTCAATTAAATTGCAAGACTTATTTTCATGCAGTTGCTCGTCATGTTCTCATTTTTTTTTTTGGTGTTTACTTGTTGATTTTTTCATAAGAGAGGGTGACAGAGAAAGAGAAAGAGAAAAAGAAAAAAAAGAGAAAGAGGAAGAAAAGAAAAAGAGAAGGAAGAGAAAAAGAGAGAGAAAGAGGGAGGGAAAAAGAAAAAGAGACGCACCAGCAGGGTCTCATGCCATGGTTCACCCCAGCACATGCACACGTATGCCCGGTGTGCAAGGAGACCCTGGGTGTGAGGCTGAGGCCTTCCCCTATGGCTTCAGCGTCTGAGAGCATTGCTTTATCGCTGTTACTTTGGCTGGCTTACAATCTCTTTTAACTTTTTAATAAGCTCCATTTTATTTATTTCTTAAGAAAGAGAGGCAGAGGGATATCCATGATGGTCTTGCCATGCCACATTCCTCTGCCTGCCTCCCAGCTGGGATCATTTTAAATTTCTTAGGAAAAAGAAAAAATAGAATCACTAGTATTGTCGTCCTCTTTATTTTTTAACTTTATTAATTTTTTCAGTGAGAGAGAAGAGGGTGTGGGAGAGAGACAGGCAGATCCCAGCAGGCCCTTGGGCCTGTTCCGGCTGGTCTGGGACCTGAGCCAGACCTGTGTGCCCAGCGCAGCAGTGCCCACCACGCATGCCACTGCAATGGGGCTGACCTTTCATTCTTTTTTTTTTTGGAGAGGTTTTTGCTATAGGGTGCATGCGCTCGCCGGAAAGAAAGAGAGAGAGAGAGACAGAGAGATAGAAAGTGAGAAATCACCCCCACGGGGGATGGCCACGCCGCAATCGCTTCTCCTCCATTCTCCTCTCGGGATCTTGGGCATGCATGCACATGCACCTGGCATGAGTTTTAAGCCACCAGGTTTGAGACTCGAACCACGGTTGACTACATGGGAGTCCAGCGACATAGTCATTATGTTAACTGCTGGCCCCTGACCTTTCATTCTGATCTTTTTTTTTTCTCTCTCTCTTTTTCTCTTGGTAAGAGGTTGTAATTTTTATTAATTTTTTTGAATTTCTTCATTATATGTGTGTATTTTAAATCCTGAGTTTCTGCCTTTTCTTGGTTGTTTCCATTTCTTAAATTCCTTAGCTTGCTATTTTGTTCTTACAGTTTCTTGAGATATAAGTTCCAGAGGTTGGAAACCTTTACGAAGACTGTAGTAAATAGTTCAAGTTGTGCCGGCTTCCATGCCTCCTTTCCTTCTGCTCAGCCCAGAGCCAGAGGGTGGCACCATGGTAAATGCGATGCTTTGAGCGGCCAATCCACATGGAAGGTTCTGGGCTCATGTCCAGAGACTCTGAGGACACGGGACACATGTGGGTTCCTGATCCAGGGCTGGCTGAGACGAGTGTGTCCCAGCATCAGGATCCATTTGAGGTTCTGCGGCTCTTGCTCCTGGGGAACTTAAACTTCAAACGAACAGAGCAAAGCTGCTGTACTTTCGTGACATGGAAGCAGTCGCAGGTGACATGTGAACGGGTGGGCCTGAGTGTTTCAGTAAAACTGTGTCTGCAAAGGCTCGAGGCAGCTACCTTGGGCCGTGGAGTTTGACAAACCCTGTCTTGATCGCTTGGCATTCAGATTTGCCTCCCCAGTGTAAGTTGCCGGAACTACGTATTTCTATGGAAACCTGCTTCAGCTACATCCACAAGTTTTCATTTATTTATTATTTAAGATTACATGTGGTTTATAGTATTTTGGGGATATCACTTTTACAGTTTTCCGAGTGGATGATCTAAAGTGATATATGCATGCATAATTGACCCAGGTCCTTGGTATCCGCGCTTGACCATTTTGTGTGAAGTGCAGAAAAGCTGCTTCCATGTCGGTTCCTGTTTCTTACCCCCTCTGCAGACATATTATTCTCATTCCCCACATATACCTTAAACACTGTATCAGGCTCTATTATGACTTCTGCTTCTACCATCAGATAGAATTTTTTTGAGATTTTTGCTATAGGGCACATGAACTCATCAGAGAGACAGAAAGTGAGAAATCACTCCCCCCAGGGGATATGACCATGCTGCAGTTCCCTCTCCTCTCTCCTCCTCTCAGGATTTTGGGTATGCTCACACTCATGCACAGTGTGTGTTTCAAGCCACTGAGCCCTGGACTCGAACCACGGTGAACTACGTGGGAGTCTAGCAATGTAACCATTACACCATCTGATGATCCCCCACCAAATATAGTTTTTCAAATGGAAGGGAAGGGGGTTATTTATCATGTGTAACACACTGTCCACCCATTCCACATGCTCTTCCTCTCTCTGAAGTTTTAAGCCCTCTCTTACCATTTCCTTTCTACGTAGAGACTTATTTTTAGCCATTCTTTTCAGAGAGATTTGCTAGCATCAAATTCTTTTAGTTTTTATTTGTCTAGGAATATCTTCATACTACCTGTGTCCTTGAGGATATTTCCACTGGCTATAGAATCAGAGTTGACAATTTCTTTTTTCTTCACCTGAAAAACTCTGTCCCACTTGCTTCTGAACTCCCTGGTCATGCAAACTGGTGTTTTCCATCAATAATTTGCTCATTCTCTCTGGCTGCTTTCAAGATTATTATTATTTTTTTTTCCTTTTCAGAGAGAATTTGCTCTAGTGCGTGTGTGTTCACCAGAGAGACAGAAACAGAGAGAGAGAAAATGAGAAATCGCCCCTTAGGGTGGGTGGTCACAGCTCAATCCCTTGTCCGCCATCCTCCTCTTGGGGTTTTGGGCATGTGTGCACATGCTCAGGGTGTGAATCTCAAGCCTTCAGGTCGAGGACTCAAATCCGGCCCGCCATGTGGGAGTCCAGCAATACTGTAACCACTATGCCTTCTGCTGTGCCCTCAAGATTATTTTACTTACTTTTTTTGAATAATTATTTTATTTAACTTTATTTACTTATTTACTTATTTGATCAGAGTGGGACAGAGCGAGAAGAGAGCGAGCGATCGAGAGAAAGAATGAGAAAACACAGGTCCAGCCAGGATCAGGACTCAAACCATGGTCAACCATGTGGGAGTCCAGCACCCTTAACCACCACTCCACCTGCTAGCCCCCCTCAAAATTATTTTATTTTATTCATTTATTTATGTACTTTTTATTCAGTTTTTAGATGGTTAGTGACAGTGTATCTTTGCATACGTTTCTCAGTGTTTATCATCTGTAGGATTCACTGTGCTTCTTAAATCTGTAAATTGATGTCTTTCGACAAAAGTAGGGAAGTTTGGGCCTTCATCTCTCCCATTCTTCGTGAGGCCCACCTCCTTTCTCTTCTTCAGTTTTACTCTGCTCTGGGGTCATTCAGCATGATTTTATATTTTATTGATTTAGTGTTTAGTTCTAATTGATCTTTTTTAAAATGATCGTTTTTTATCTGCTAAAATTTTCTAATCCTCCTAGTTCAAGAGCACTTATACTCTGCTTGTCAAAGCATTTTTAGGACGGCCAGTTTGAAATCCTTGCCAGTTTAGTTCATTCATCTCATTCAGTATTGGCATTTTGTCTTTCTGTTCAATGAATGATTTTCCTGTTGGTATGAAAAGTGATTTAAAAAAAATTTACTCTGGATTTTTTGGACACTAGATGTTAAGACTCTGGGTCCTGATTGATCTGTTTTGTTTGTGATCCCCTGTGGAATGGTGGAAGGGTAACGTGGGAGCTTGGTGTGGTGGTTGGGTTTTAGGCTAGGCCGCTGACACCATTTCAGCAGTCGGAAAAGCCACCATGCAGATAGTGAGGCACTTTCAGCTCACCTCTCACCCTGCTGACCCAGTCCCATGGAAGCAGGCACCAGGCCACACCTGAGCGCCTGCCAGTGGGGACGTGAGGCACAGAGCGGGGAGGGAAAGGGATAAATCACCCCTGAGGGGATGGCCACGCCGCAGTCCCCTCGGGTGAGCACACGTGCACAGCCAGCTGGTGTGTTTCAAGTCACCAGGTGAGGGACCTGAACTACTCAGCTGGCCATGTGGGATCCAGAGGCTTCAACCTCCATGCCACTGCAGGCCCCATCACACTACGTTTTGACCAGTAAGAAGAATATGTTTATCCTATTGTAATGACCCCGTTTCCAAAATAAATATTTGCTTTAATTTCACTGTTACAACATTACCATGCCAAAGGTTTTAGATTAAGAAGTGAAGTTCATGGGGACTGTGGCTAGTCTTCATCTCGTTACGCTTCGTTTTCTTCATGTGCGAAATGAGCATATATGTCATATATGATGTCAGTATATATAGTGTAATACCATGTTGTGTGTGCGTGTGTGTGTGTGTGTACACATATCTATTTAAATGTGATAAATGTAACATTTACCTCTGTACTCTCAGTGTTCAGTATACTTTATGGCTCAGAAGTACTTAATAAACATCTTTTCAAATTGAGTTTTATGTGTCAGGGCCAGCAGAGGGCGTAGTGGTTAAGGCACTGAACCCTAACATGGCCCACCACCATTTGAGTGCCAAACTTGGCAGCACAAATTCACGCTGTGTGCATGTGTGTGTGTGTGTGAGGGGGTGCCCAAAATCCCTAGAGGAGAATGGAGGAGAAGGGATTGCAGAGTGGCCGTCACCCCCACCCCCAGTGAGTGATTTTTTTTTACCTTCTGTCTCTCTGTCTCTCTCATGAGCATATGTGCCCTGAGGCAAAAATCTCTCTTTAAAAAAA